CAAGAAATATCAGAAATTTAAACACAGATCAAGAGATCTATGTTCTGCCATGTTTATAAATTACCTGTTTGTTATAGGGTGAAAAAGCTAAGTAGGGAAGGAGAGAATCCTGTTGTTTTCTTCTTTGGTTTAAGGACAAAGAGGATCTAAATGTAATATCTCCAGCTTACAGCATCATTAGATTAATAATATTTTAGAAATGACAATTTTAGTGAATAGAAACTATTGATTTCTGATTATCTATATTGATTGTATGTAACTCATGTGTAGCTGTGCAACGTGTATCTCATATTTAAGTCCATATCCACATTTCACAAACTGTCCTAATAATGTCATTTATGGAATCTTTTTCTGGTCCAGGATCCAATTCAGGGTCATGCTGTGCATTAAGCGCAGTATATCTGGCATCTAATATTGTGGAACAATACCCAAGGCTCTGTCTTTCATACCACTGACATTTTTTTTAAGAGTACAAGCCAATTGTTTTGTAGAGTACCCTTCAACTTGGGTTTTCTTGATGTTTCCTTTCTGTTGAGGTCAGATGTGCATTTGGTGCAGGAACACTGCTCAGGCAACGTTACATTACATCAGGTAGCATATGATGTCAGTTTTTCCCATCATTGGTCATGTCACTTTATTTAGTGAAGATGTTGATCCCTCTACATGTGTTCACTAAAATACTACTCACTTTTTTCTTTCTAATGAATATGTCTTCTGTGGGGAAGATACTTTGATACAATGTAATTATCTTGTTGCTTTTTAAACATACACTTAATAATTTTAACATCCATTGATAATTCTGGTTTGAATCAGTTATTGCTACGAAGATTATGAAATGGTAATCTTCTAACTCTATTAATTTTGTTTACATTATTGGTTGGAACCCTCTGCAAGAAAGAACTTTCCTTTCTCCTTATTTATTTACTTAATTGCCTGCTTAATACCAGTATGGACTTGTGTGGATTTTTCCTTTAGTCTATGGTTTACGATCCATTCTTCCATTATCCATTTTGATGTTCCAATTTTCTCATATTTGCTCAGAAGGACCCCTTCAAGTTGTCTCCTCTGTCATGTTTCAATGACCCCATCATTGTTTGAGCTCTTCCTTATTTTCTGGCATATTAAGTTATAGTTCATCTTGTTCATTGCCTGCCCCAGTCCCAGATTCAGCCATTTCACTGAGGTGGTCTGGTTCCGTTTATGAGAAATGTGTATGAAAAACAAAATCTGAGTGCTAGATATGCTAGTCTACTAGGATGTTGTTGCTTCTAGGCATACAATAAAATGTGCTCTTTTAAGTGCATAGCTTGATGAATTTTGACAGATTTATATGCTCATGGTTGATGCTCAGTCTTCATTGCACTTGATCTATTAGCAGCATTTGAGACTGAGGATCACACTTTCCTTCTCACAATGTTGTCTTCACCAGGCTTCCAAGCAATGATACTCTCTTGATTTTACTCCATCGCCCTGGGTACTCCTTCTCAGTCTCTTGTCATCTTTTCTACTCTTCTCTGCACCCTTCAAAGGTGAAGGACTGCAGAGTAAGACTTGGATGCTTTTCTCCTCAGTGTCTACACTCACTCCCTGGTAATCACCTCTGACAACTCCTGAATCTGTGTTTTTAACCCAATCTTCTCCCTCAATCCCTGAATTTTTTTTTTTTTAATCCTCACCCGAGGACATTTTTTTCAATATTTTGTTCAGATAGAGCGGGAGGGAGGGAGAGAGAGAGAGAAACATTGACGTGAAAGGGACACATCGAGTGGCTGCCACCCACACGGCCCAACCAGGGCCGGGGACAAACTGCAACCGAGGTACATGCCCTTAGCGGGAACCGAACCCAGGTCTCTCTGGACCGCAGGCCAGCGCTCTAACCACTGAGCCAAACCAACCAGGGCAAGCCCTAAATTTTATAGTCACTTATTTCTACTTGACATCTTCACTTGATTTTCCAATAGACTTCCAAATGTAACATATGCAAAACTGAAATCCACCCCACATCTGTTCCACCTGAAGCCTTTCCCATCTCTGGTGATGGCAGCTCCATTATCCTAGTTTTTCAGGCCAGAGACTTGGAGGTACCCAAAATATACAGAATCCCTTCTCTACCCTTCCCACTGCTCCCCCATGGTGTGAGCACCCTAATCTCGTGCCTAGATTATTTCAATGGCCTCAACAGGTTTCGCTCCCTCAGAACTTGCTCCTGTAATCTGCTCTCAACACAGAAGCCAGGATGGCCCAGTAGAATGTGAGCATGACTGTACCACACTTTTGCTCAAAACTTTGAAGTGGTTCCACGTTTCCCTCAGAGTAGAGCCCAAGCTGCTGCACCGGCCTCAGGGCCCTGTATAATTCTCATGCCTCCCTTTGCTCTAAGAACCCATCTCTCATCCGCTTTTCCTCCCATCTCCATGCCCATGGGACGCCTGCTGCCCTCCCTCCTGCATGCCAGCAGACTAGGGGTGCTTCCCACGGGAGGATCAGTGGTGCTGGTCTCTCTGTATGGAAGGCATTTCCCCAGATATCTGCTTAGCCAGCTCCCTTGTCTACTTCCAGTTTTAATTCAATTGTGCCCTCTAATGAGGACCACCATAATTACCCCAACACAGAACTTCTGATCCCTCATTCCCTGCTTTCCCTCCCGCGCCCCATTACACTTACCCACCCCTAACACATTGTTATAAATGACTTCTTTATGTTCATTGTTGTCTGCCTCTCTATGCTAGAATGCAAGCTCCGTGAGGACAGGGATCTCTGTTTTGCTCACTGGGGGACTAGAACTGCAGGATCTCATCAAATACCTAGAACACTGGCCGGTTTGGCTCAGTGGTTGGAGCATCAGCCTGCAGACCAGAGAGTCGCGGGTTCAGTTCCCGCCAGGGGCACGTACCAAAAAAAAAAAAACTTTTCTAAAGTACCTAGAACAGTGCCTCTCCCTTAGTAACACTCAAAATATTTTTTAAATGAATGAATCAACCACTTATCCTGTACTTTGACTTGATAAACTGATACAAATGAGTGAGGACCTACTGGTAGAATTGAGTCCATGTATGCCATTTTCAATGTTGACGTGCCTAAACACCCAGCGTCCGCATGTGCTTGTTTGCCTCTTTCCATAATGAAGTCTAGATTCATTTTAAAATTCATTTAAAATAATAAGAATTTAATCGGGCAGCATTTCCAGAGAATAGTAGGTTTTGGCTGCCCTGAACTGTGTCTTTGTATGGATAACACCACCTAAGTAACAAACTGGTGCTGGTCGCTCACTCACTGCCCGGGGAAGTGCCACACTGTGAGGGAAGCCCGCCCGCTGCCTCCTCCGCTTGCGGCTTCCACTGTGATGTTGGGTTCCACACAGGACAGGGGGATGGGAGAGGGCATGAGAGAAACCAAAGTGTCTTTTTATATGAACAGTACGTTGTCCTACTAGACTGTCCACTTCACTCTAGATCCAAAATTGGCAGCAGCTGTCTGTCTCTTAGGTGGCCCCAGAGTGAGCGATTCACAGAATTTCAGCTGAGACAAGACTTACCTTGACAGGCTTTCAAATAACGTTCTTGGGGTATTTCTGGATAATCACCACGATATCAACAGTCAAGTTTTGAAAGGTACATGTGACATGAGTATTAAAATATCTCTACTGACAGCATCAGACTTTTATGGCCACCAGCAAAAGAGAATATACTCCATTCTACAGTAAACACCCTCTCTGCTTCATATCAGGGGAGTGTGGGTGGCTTTAGGCTGAGAGTATTGATTCCTTAGTCACTGATGTCCTTGGAACCTTAGAAAAAATTTCCTCGTGCCTAAGCTAGTGTGTTCTCAACTCTTCTAATTCAGGTGAAGGATTTGATCAGACTAGAGTGAGTGTAGGATGAGAACCTGATCTAAATTTTGGAACATCAATTCTAATATAGCAGAAAAAAAGCCTAGCTTGTCCTTTAAACGCATGCAGAAGTATGTGGATTTCACTCACTAAGCATACCAGCATCATTAATAAGAAAATGCACTTTATAGTTCATATACTTTGTCTTCCAACATTGCATTAAAGATATCTCAATTTATTTTATTTTAATTTATTAATCTGTTGAGAGAGAGAGAAAGATTTGTTATTCCACTTATTTATACATCCATTGATTGATTCTTGTATGTGCCCTGACCGGGGATCAAATCCGCAACCTTGGCATATCAAGATGATGTTCTAATCAACTGAGCCACCCAGCCAGGGTTAAAAATATCTCAATATTGCCCTGGCCGGTTTGGCTCAGCGGTTAGAGCGTCGGCCTGCGGTCTAGAGAGACCCAGGTTCGGTTCCCGCTAAGGGCACGTACCTCGGTTGCAGTTTGTCTCCGGCCCTGGTTGGTCGTGCGGGTGGCAGCCACTCAATGTGTCCCTTTCACGTCGATGTTTCTCTCTCTCTCTCTCTTCCGCTCTCTCCCTCCCACTGTATCTGTACAAAAAATGGAAAAATGTCCTTGGTTGAGGATCAAAAAAAAAAAAACCTCAATATTTTAATCAATGTACTATATAAGAAATAATATTTTGTTTTGTTCTAGAAGAGTTTCAAATGTAGAATTAAATAGACTATATTTAAGAAAGCATTGCCCTGGCTGGTTTGACTCAGCGGTTAGAGCATCAGCCCACGGACCAGAGAGGCCCGGGTTCGATTCCCACTAAGAGCACATACTTTGGTTACAGTTTGTCCCCGGCCCCAGTTGGGGTCCTGAGGGTGGTGACCAGTCGATGTGTCTCTCTCACATCAATGTTTTTCTCTCTCTTCTCCTACTCTGTCTGAAGATAAATGCAAAAAAAAATGTCCTCGGGTGAGGATAAAAATAAATAAATAAATAAATAAATAAATAAATAAATAAATAGCAAGCAAGCATTGAGAGCATCTTTAAAAACTTTTCTCCTTTATAATACATGGTATTTTTACATAGTGGGAAAAAATGTTTTTTTTTTAATATATAATATCTGACTTTGATTACTTTCCACAGGTACAACACACTCAGGGGAAATTGGCACCAAGAAAAAGGTGAAAAGACTGTTGAGCTTTCAAAGATACTTCCATGCGTCGCGGCTGCTCCGTGGAATTATACCCCAGGCCCCTCTCCACCTGCTGGATGAAGACTACCTTGGACAAGCCGGGGTGAGCCAGCTGCCCTCTGCCACCTCAGGCAGGCCGTGGCTGGGAGCATGTGCCCCGCTGGTAGTCAGTTGAGTCCCACTTCTGACCCTGGGATGCTCTGTGACTCTGGCTAGTTACTCAACATATCTGGACTTTTTCCCTCTAATACAAATGAAGTCAATAGGAATACACACCTCATAGGGGTGATGCAGAGATTAAATGAGCTAAAGCATGTTTACATGCTGGATATATTCATACCTAGCTTTGTTCATTTTTATAAATGTGCAAAACATATTGGCAGAACACTATGTAACACAAAATGTTTGACTGGTTGATTACTAATGAGAGAATAACTAAATTTTTAACCCATTGAATTATCTCACTGTAATAGCTACAGTGAAATTAACCTAATAATTACCAACTTTTCATTTCACTTTAGGCTAGAAACATGACGCGTTATCCTTTTTATAATTTTTAATTCATCCAAATGATTTTTACTAATTTTACAATTATTTTTACAATTATCTTATCGGTACCAGCAATTGCTGGTTCAACTGAGGGCAGATAATAATTTGTGGCGACCTAAACAAAAGCTCGCAGGCTCTCTCTAACCCAAACTGCCGAAGAAATTTAAAGTTCAGATATAAGCTGCCTCCGTTTAAACAGAAATCAAAAGTAGTATCTTATCGTTTACATGCTACGTAATATTATGCTGTATATATACTATTAAGAAATAAGTAGCAAGTAATATCAGAAGAACTAATCCCCAATATTAGGTCTACAAAAGGGTGAGGAGGGCCCTGCTAACAACCCAAGGCCTGAGGTTGAGCGAATGTTTGTTTGATCATTTGTTTGGTTAGAGGACAGAGGACTAAGCTCTCGGCCTTGAGCTCCAGCGACAGTACCCTGTGGTACCTGCCCTCCAGGCAGCCACCTCCAGAAAGCAGCACTGAGATACGGATAGAATAGCAGGCCACATTCGGGGCATCAGAGACCCAATCCTGGCCGGCCCTTAGATTTGTATGACTTGGGTAAAATGCTCGCTCCATCTGGACCTCGCAGACAACTCTTAACCCTTCATTTTTCTAATGCTGTTGGGACAGTCTTTGTGTGCCAGGATGAGGCCTCTGGATTTTTCATAAGATACAAAAAAGCTATTCAGGAGCAAGTAGTGGAGTGTGAGCCAGTCCCTGCCAGGAGCAGTGGCCATGAGAGGGGAGGAAGGCCCTGTGCTGGAGCTACAGTGAGGACAGAGTCAGCCCTGGGAGCTTCGTGTCTCACTGAGCGTTAACCCCATCTCCTTCTAGGCACGGAGTATTTAAAAAAAAAAAAAAAGGATAATATGCCTATTTAAAGTAGGTCTTTAGATCACCCAAAAGTTTTCATCACACGTTCGCCAGTTTCCTGTTACTGTGGTTAATTTCACAGGTAGTCCCACAGGGAACAGAGTGATGTGCTCAGCAATCATTTTGACTTCATTTTATTAAAATTTGTTGTAAACCTGCCTTAAGTGAATAGTAGTTTATAATGTGGAGACTTCACAGAACTATGGTGTTAACAGATGTCTAACATGGGTGCGCTTACTGTGTACAAGCACTGTTCTAAGCACTTTATTACATGCATGTCTGTTTGCATATATTGCCTTATTTATTCCTCACAACAACCCTCTAAAATAATAATGTCAGCCACATTTTTCAAATTAAGAAACTGAGGAACAGAGAGGTTAAGGAACTTGCCCAAAGTACCACAGCCAATAAGAGATATGGTTGCATCAGACCAGGCCAACTGATCCCTGAGCCTGTCCCGTTAACATTGTTGTTATTAATCAGTAGAGTAAGATTTATTTTACTACAATCCAGTTGTGCATAGATAGTAGAGTGCAACTTTATTTTCAAGTTTTTAATTGTTTAATTCACTCTGTCTCAAAGTGAATATTTGAGTCTCCAATATGATTCATTTGAGTGGTTTTCTTGTTTGCCTTTGCAGCATATGCTCTCCAAAGTGGGAATGTGGGATTTTGACATTTTCTTGTTTGATCGCTTGACAAATGGTAAGTCACACTGAAATATGCACCATAAAATGGGATTAATTTCATGAAAACAATATTTATTTTTAAACATTGCTATTCTTTTTTCCCTCTTTCCCCACTTTTATAAGTGTACAGCCACTCAAGATGGACTAGGGCAAGGGAAAATTAGTTCAGATGAAAAATAAGGACTGAATTTGGCCTTAGAATCTAAAGACAGTTTCCTTCTGACCTTGATGATCCCAAAGGAATGTGAAAACTACAGATTGGGTGCTGTTCTTGCAGAATACTTTAGCCACATCCAAAAGGAGGAAGTTCGTTGTTCTCCATGAAAATTAGAAACACAGAGTCTCATCTGATCAGTCCTGACTCTTGCAGGACAGTGTTGTGCACTTGCATTGAGTGAGTCAGGTCTACCCTGCTGCAGGTATCGTTCAGATATGTTTACCATCATCATCAGAAGACACCTGCTAAGGACAGAGTGTAAAAGTTTGGACTGCAGCTGAAAGGAAAGTAGATATTCTCATTAATTTCACTTTTTAGATTTTTGTGCCTATAAAGGCTTCCTTCAGGAAAATAAAAAAACCCTATTATATTTTCATCTGCCCATTCAACACATGCTGATAAGCTTAGGAAGCAATGAAAGACATCATATTTAATGCTAACCTTTGTATGTCCCACCATCTACTAAGTTTGTGCCTTGTCATTACAGATTATTTTCTATCATTCTGTTACTTGACAAACCATATACAGTGGAAAGAGTACAGCCTAAGACCATGAAACTGAGCTGCACGCTGTGGAAAGCTAACTAGACCATGTAGGGGTGGATTCCACAATGCTGTATCTTCCTTTGCTCAAATCAACTGAAAAATCGCTACCAGTAAATCATATGAACTGTGAACCAAAGAGCATGTTCAGTGATATTTGTTCAAAAGAGGGTGTGATCATGATGCTCATCGAAATATGAAATGAGCACATGTCAAAAATGTATTCAACTCAATTAATTAGAGATTCGGTAAGATGCTGCAGCTCTTTCAAAGGAGAATTAACACACACACACACATATATAAGCAGTAAGAAACACATGAATTTATAAATAGTTGTAAAACTGGAAGGAAGAAATCAGTTGTATTTTCATCTGAGTAATTTTGTTCACATGTATATGGACAAGAGTCGCTTGAAACACTGTCAATTATCCACAACTTTGATTGTGAAATGGCTCAAAGGTAATGAAAGCTGCGGAAACACTTAGAATCGGGTACCCTGGAAGAATATACTGAGGCAACACCTTGTTTTTTATTTAAGACATCCAGTCATCTTCTAGATCCATTTTAGTCTTTCATAAACTCTATAATTTTTTAAAATTCAAAATGATTATTCTTTAATAAACAATATCCCTTGAATATTTGCATGTTATTGTAGCTTCAATTTTGCATCTCTTCCAGCTTTATAAAATATCTCAAGGTTAAGTAACATTTTGATTGATACCAAAATAGGCAGACTCCTTATAACTCTTAATGTTTCCAGTAACTTATTGCCTTTGGTGTAGGGAGAAGATCTGAACTAATTTTACTTGTATAATCCAAGAACACCTAGATTCAGATCATAGTGATAAATATATTTATACTTGAATAATTTCAAATTTAAAGGGGAAAATAAATGATCCTATAAGAGACCTTTCATTACAGACTTTGGATCCTAATGTCAATCTTGATAATTTAATGGTAATGAAAATTAGTTAAAACTGGTGACTGTTTTCCTCTAGGGAACAGCCTGGTAACACTGCTGTGCCATCTCTTCAACACCCATGGACTCATTCACCATTTCAAGTTAGATATGGTGACTTTACACAGGTTTTTAGGTAAGTCTTTTTTTTTTTATTCCTACCTCTTTTTCCATGAGTAATGGCAGTCCACAATATTCTTTAACATAAATTGTCAGGAAACGTAGCATGGAGATGAAGACTTCAAATTAATCTTAAATTATCTCATCTTAATTTTAAAATATGGTTTACCCATTAAATCCCTGAAAACTTATTTATTTGGTGTGTTATTTTTACAGTAGATAAAGTCTGTATTAAAAAAAAAAACACACAACAACAAGAGCAGGTAACTGTAAAGAAATTGCTGACCTGTTCACCTATCAATAAATCCAGTAAGGCTTGCTTCAAATAATCCCAATCTGGACATGAGTTGTTGAATATCTTCAATAGATTTTTTTAATAATAAGAACTACCATTTATGTAGTGCCCACTATATGCAGGATGTTGTTGGTACGTTATTTCTAATCATTTCAACAACCCTGCAATTTGGGCATTGTCACCACCTTTTGGCCCATAGTTAAGGGGAAGTACAAAGTGGTTTCATAAATCGCTCAAGGTCAACAATTTCCAATTGGCAGAGCCTCAGTCCAAACCCAGGTCTGTCTGACCTGAAAGACCACTGTATTTCCACTCAACTCCACCATCACTTTCTACCAAAAGAGCCCCAGTTCTTATTTGCCTTTTTGTACATTCTTATTCATCTGCCAGTGCATTACCTGGGGCACATTTTTTTTTTCTTTATTGATTTTAGAGAGACAGGAAAGGAGAGGGAGGGAGAAATAGAAACATTGATGCGAGAGGACATTGATTGGCCGCCTCCTGCACTGGGGATGGGGCCCACAACCTGGGCATGTGCCCTGATGGGGAATCTAACTGGGACCTCTTGGTACATGGGTCGATGCTCAACTACTGAGCCACACCGGGCGGGCTGGGACACACTTTTAATCACCACATAACTTTCTGCTGCCACTTAGTGTGTTTCTGGCTTCTTTGACTTACCCATGGCTGTGCTTTGAATTTAAAAGCTGCCCTGGTGCTATCAAGAGTAAAATAACAGAGACAAGGATAGCAACAACCAGGCTTATATGCTGGGAGCTCTTCTAAGGACTTGCAGTTATTAACGCATTAAATCCTTACCATAGCCCTTTGAGATTAGAGCTGTTGTTATTCCCATTCTATGGAGAAGGATACGGAGGATCCTTGTGGTTAAGTAACTTGCCTGATACAAATAATAATGATAGGGCTAGAATTAAAATATAATTGTAAAATAAACCTGCTGAATAAAAGGTATACGTGGCACACCCGAAATTTTTAAAACCAGCCACAACAGGGCTCAGTTCCAGAAACACAAATAACCCCAAGCTAATTGAATTTAGATTGCTGAAGCAAAGTAATGGCCATGAATAAGGCCAAAGAGTTTTGATTTGTCTAGAGAGGGAGAATGCAGATACTCTGGACATGTGTATGCACCTAGAGTACATGTAAAGGGGGAAAAGATTTGGCCCTGGCCGGTTTGGCTCAGCGATTGGAGCGTCGGCCTGCGGTCCAGAGAGACCTGGGTTCAGTTCCCGCTAGGACTCGTACCTCGGTTGCAGTTAGTCCCCGGCCCTGGTTGGTGGTGTGGGTGGCAGCCACTCAATGTGTCCCTTTCACGTCGATGTTTCTCTCTCTCTTCTTCTATCTCTCTCCCACTCTACCTGCACAAAAAAAAAAAGGAAAAAATGTCCTCAGGTGAGGATAAAAAAAAAAGAGGGCAAAGATTTGATGACAAAGAATAACACCAGAATCCAGAACCGAATTCACAGCGTAGGCTGACAAAATATGGCTGACAAAATATGGTCATACTTGCAAATCTAGACATTCTATACACACTGATTATGTTGCATCCTAAGCATTGCCTTGGTTATTAGCTGAAGCAGGCTAGTGGCTTCTGTAAATAGCAAACCAAAATTGCCTTGCTTATGTGTCTACTTGGTTCCAAGAGCACCCTGATCCTTAGAGTAGAAGGGCATGAACAATAATAACTTAATCTGAATGCAGTAGAAATAAAGCCAAGGGGTCCTCTGTTGAATCAACACAGTAAATTGAAAATCTGCCTGAAGAAACCCCAGATTTACTTGGCTCAGCATTTGTTACTCAAGTGATAGATCCATCTTCGGATATCAGGAGAGTCTGGTGCTACCTTTTAGGGCCATTTAAAAGGAAACCTCTTACATGGAATATTATTCACAAATGGCAGCAAATAATTAAACTATGATGTGAAATAAAGTTGTCCTTTTCCTACATATTTATTTTTCCTATGAATGAAAGCCTTCATGAATGCCAGAAGGGGTGAGCTACGAAGGTGGTGAGGATTCCCAAGGGCCTCACAAATCCTTTTAGCCTCTTTCCCATCTGCCCTCCTCCCCCTCTCCACTAAAAACAGCTCAGTGGAACTGCGAAACTGCCAGGGCACGTTCATTTGTAAAGAATCCCCAGGGTACACATTTTGGAGACACTAATATCTTTAAGAAAAAGGGACCCTCAATAAAGCTGAGGTCGATGCCCTTCCTGTGTTGGTTTTAGCTGACTGAGTTATCTGTTTCCTTCCCAGTCATGGTTCAAGAAGATTACCACAGCCAAAACCCGTATCACAATGCTGTCCACGCAGCCGATGTCACCCAGGCCATGCACTGCTACCTGAAGGAGCCAAAGGTGAGCCAGCCCTTGCCACCCCTCAACCTCTGGAAGTGCAAGTAAACTGCCTGCTGGGTCCCAGAGCACCCAACATGTCAGAATTACTGTGACGGGTCATTCACAACACGAATACAGATTGTTTATATTCAAGTTCCACTATCGGCTCTGAAAACTGTGCAGTACTCACAAAAGAGCATTTAAATTTTCTGGGGTTTCCTTTCATAATGTGTATGAAAGGCTGCACTGGGACGAAACCAGCCCTCCCCATGACAATCTGCATCTTAGATATCTTCAGCAGTCCCAGGAGCTAACTGTTTGGCCTTGAATCTGTGCTACAAATGCTAACAGCCCTGAAATTTTCTGGGAAAAGTCTCCCACCTTGTGGTTTTTGATCGACAAATAGAATCAGTGCTCCTCAAGGCTTAAGCTCCATTTCCTACTAAGGCAACCGAATATCCTGACTCAGGCCCAAGAAAACTTGTGAACGTCAAAGACCTTTTAGCAAGCATGCTCTGATGTGACCAACCAATCCGAAACTAAAAACATAATAGTGCTCGTTACTCAAAACCGAGGTATTTCTTAGCCATATAACTAAGAGTTGGTATAACATAGAGGATGAATTTTCTTAAGGTTTCTTAAAATAATATCTCAGTCCAAGACTCCGTTCAGTTCAATCAGTTTTAACATCAACCACTGACTATGCAGACGCCAGACACACAATCCCAAGACAAAACTGGGTAGATGCCGCATCCATATAAAATAGCCCAAAGACATTAAATGGTTGTTTGTTTGTTTTTTCATCTCTAGGTAGCCTGAAAGTTGTATATTTAAAGTTAGACTGGATTCCCATTTCCCTGCTTGTTTTCCTAGCTAACCAAAAAAAAGGCAGATTCCCAGACATCTCCTCCCCCGCACGCTCTTCACTACAGATTGAAGAAATAGCAAATCTTGAAATTCATTCCAGTCTTGATTTCATATTCAAAGAAGTGACAACGACATGGCGGATGGTCGAAATACACAAATGATTCTTCATGCGCCCATCACTTTGAACTTTTTATTTCCTGTATAGCTTTCTCTAGGAGCAAGGCTGATTTCAGGCCCTGCCTTCTCCCTACCCACAGACAGGCCGCGCCACTGCAACACACAAGGAAGCAGAGTGGCGGCAGGACAGGGGGTACTGAATGGTCTCTGCCATCTGACTAGCTCAGTTACTTTCCACACGGTTCTGTCTTTTCTCTTGCGATTCCATGTGCCTCTCACCTCACTGCCTCAGAGGGTAAAGGCCTGGTGGATGGAAGGCCTGACAGTATGGTGATGCCTCATTCTATTCGATTTTGCAAAAACAAGTGCTAACCTATTTGTGAAAACACACCTACCAACCTCCCAATTTAACTTTTTTAACAGCTCGCCAGCTTCCTCACACCTCTGGACATCATGCTTGGACTGCTGGCTGCAGCAGCACACGATGTTGACCACCCAGGGGTGAACCAGCCATTTTTGATCAAAACTAACCACCACCTCGCCAACCTATATCAGGTAAGAGAGCTCAACGTTCAGCCGGGCACAGTACGGCCACCTGCCTTAGACCCCATCCTAGAGCCTGAATCTCACCCTTGGAGATGGCTTCATTCAGGATCAGCCTCGCTGATGACCACAGCCAAAGAGCATGGGTTTGAAACTGGTCCAGGATATCCCCCAAGAAAGATTAAATTGGTTTACAAGGCTATCCAAGGAATTCAATTTGCTCTGAAGCGGATTTAAAATTGTTGGAAGTCAAGCAGGATCCCTACTCTCTGATGGTCTAAGAATATGTGTCTCCCTGGAAATTATCTCATATATAATGACCAGTTGAAGCTAGTCCTTGTAGGACTTCTATAAATGATACTACTCAGGTGCAAACCTAGTTCAGACTTATGTTTCTAGGACTATTTCTGAATGTTATTGGCCTCTGAGTCAGAGGTATTTTATCAAAGACAATAGACATTGTTGTTAAACAATAATTCAGCAGCATGAGTAGATTGGCCAGGAGAACTTTCACCCATGATATTGTTTTAGATATTATGCCCTGTGTCATAAATGAATTACCCCCAGAATTCTCGAGGTTCTTTGGAGACCTTTGGTTGTCATTCACAAAATTATTACATACAAGGAAATTATCTCAATTTTTCTGGAGCTTTTGGGGAAAAAAAAATTAGTACTTAAAGAATCCTGACAGATTCCCACAAAACAGCTGCCTTATATAAGATGTTGCAGCTTAAGGATACATTTATTTCCAGTAAAACACAATTGAAACATTTTCCAAAGTCTTTCTCCATCCAGATGATTCACTTTGGGTATAGGTAGAAACTGGTGTTCCAAGGTTTATGGTTCCACCTGGTATGTATTTCAGCACTGGCTTTCCTGGGCTCCCAGCCAGCATCCGGAGCTGGGATAGATATGGCTCTATAGAAGGGACAGGATGACAGAACTAAGAAAGTCTTTTGATGATCAGCCAAAAACTAAAAAAAAAAAGAATGAATGAATGAAAAACTAAAAGTAAATTTTCTAAACCATCTCAGAAGCTAAATTTATTGCTTAGGGAAAAACATAAATATAGGTATTTGGGGGAAAACAAAATGAGTGATTGTGCTGAGAGCCCAAAGCGGATTTTCTATGCCTGTGAATTCTGACTCTCCAAGTGTTTTCATTAGACAAAAGAAATCAATCAACACAAATGGCTACTTAATCCATTTCCAAACAATGTAAATGTTTATATAATTCTAATTTCTCATCATCAAATAAATCCTATCAGTGGAGTTTGAGAGTATCTACTGCTACTGGGTGATTTGTACATAAAAATAAGGGTCATAAAACTGTACTTTGACATGTAGTACATATAAAACACACAACGAATTCACATTTAGACAGAAGTCAGAAAGAAATTCGCCAGATGTTAAAGACATAAAGACAAGAAAGTGTAGAATTTCATCAATAATGAAGAATTAAGTACTAATTGCTACTTAACAAAAATTGATTCTCAAAAGCAAGATATGCCTATTTATCTTCTTTAGATACTAAAAGTGTTCTCAAAAAGGATTGCTTACTCAAACTTTTGAAGTACAAATAGTTTTTAATAATGTTATTTTAATCTCTTTGTTTAAAATAAACATTCCAATACAACCAAATTTTCCCGCCTTTTCAATGCAACATATAGTTTTGTAGATTTTTAATCAGCAACTATTTATTGCACATATTGGATGATATACTAGGATCTAGAAGTACAAACATAAATAACATATAATCTCTGCCCTCAAACATTTGTTCCAACTCAGCTGGGCAAAATCCAAGAAAACTTAATCCTCGTTTGAAAAACATTTGAGGCATTAACTAAAGATATGCATAAAGATACAACTTTTTTTAAAAAGTCTTTGAAGAGTAAATACCTGTGTTGTTCTTTGTATTCAGAGATGTTGTTACAATAAAGTGAGCTATTATTTTTTTCTAGCAGTGAATTTATTAGTATCTGATCTGTACAGCCTAATCTTTCACAGGAAAGAAAGGCATCCTTTTGATAATGTCTAGAGAGAAATTGGGATATAGGACTCAAAAAACACGTCAAGGTATTGTCCTCATCAGTCCCTTGCTCTACAGGTCTTAGGATTTCTTGGAGGTAGAGATCCATAGAAACAATGTTGAAAAGTAAACCAACATCACACAGTATCATAAAGTTACTTCCAATATCCTACAGCTGGCTAGGATAAAATGTGAAACTTTTATCAGCCAAATGAGATCTCAAATCTGCCCTAAAAATGTATGCTACCTTTACTATTTGGCTATATACCATTGTTGACTATCTGAAGGAACTCTGAAAAGATAAATTCCCTATAAAATTTAGTTTAACAAATTAGGTAACTAACCTCCATTCAACACTCACTATGATTCAAATGCTGTGCTAAATGCTTTTATGTATTATATTATTAATCTTCACAACAGCCCAGTTAGGTGGGTACTATTATTATACCTATCTTACAGACAGATGAAAGTTGATACTTAGGAAATTCAAGTATTTTCCCTAAAAATAAACAGTTAATTTAATGGCAAAGCTGGGACTGGAACTCAGGTCTTTTGTCTCCAGAGCCAAAGTGCCTGAGTATGACCAGTACTGCCTCTAAAACTCATGTTAACCACCTGCTGTGTGCAGGAAGCTAAGAGCTCTCCTCCAGGTTGTCCTATTGCAGTGAGGGAGATGAGGATCGGAGACCAGTGGCCTCAGGTGGAAAAGGCTTTGCTAAATACTCTGCAGAAGATAGCTACAAAGTGTGGTGGGAAGACCGTAACTGATTCTGCAGATGGTTTCTGAAAAGAAAAAAGCTCATGGAGGAAGAAGAGTGTAAACTGGTCCTTGAAGCGTGAGTAATATTTTGAGTAACATGTTGAAGGGCACTAGAGGCAGTACAAACTGGTGTACTTCTGGGATTAAACCCCACAAGGCCATACAACAGAAAATGGACTGTCCCTATGGCCTTTAGCTGAGCATAGTCCTGCCATGAACAAACCCTGCTCTCAGATAAGGTGGGTATCTGATAAATTCCCTGTAGACAGCTGTACCAAAAATGACCTGGACCAGAAAACCCCCACACTTCGTCAAGCTGTCGATAAGGAACTGGCGTAACTCTTCGGTTTTCTATTTTTTTTGGGGGGGGGGGGGCATGGTACATATATAAACTGAGCAAGACCATTAACAACACATGATATTTTAAAATTCTTGGAAATGTAGCCTTTTAGCCTACCAAGGACCTGTTGGTTGAGACATGAATGATCTTGCAGGAAATTACACACAGATTTTGAGTATATGCCTATGCACATTTTTCTAGGGAGAGGACCCATCACTTAGACTCATATTTTAAAATGAGTTATAGATTCAGAAAATATTAAGAACCATGGTAATGAGTGAATATATAATTTATATACACGCACTATATATATTATACAATATATTGTGAATACACACACACGCACACCACACAAATTATACAGGAACACGCATACACATTTCATTAACAAAAATATAAGAGAGAGGATGTGCCAGAAATTATGTGGTTTTGAGAGCACCCCGTGTGGGACTGCTACAATCCAGACTTACTGTAAATGAAATCAAGCGGAAGCGGCTTCCTCTCTCTTTTCATTGGCTGTGTTCTTTTAGTTCAGACAAGTAAGATCATTGCATAAGGCCAGCCTGTGCTTCTGCCCTGAGATAAACAGCGAGCCTGGGCAGCTGGAGGGCAGCTGGGTCGGGGGCTCTCTCCCACTGTCTGCTGCCTGGGCTGGACTCGCTAGCTGAAATGCCAACCCAAGTTCAACACGAAGGCCGAGAAGGCCCTGCCACCTGGCACCTCTCTCGCTGAACTGGGAACAGTCCAGGTGTCCATGGTGGACTGAGCGGGAAAAGAGCTTGTGAAAGACAGAACCCAAAATGTATTTTCTGTCCCTTCACCCTGCAACCTCCTACACAAGTGGGCTCAGCAACTGGGCCAGGCAAGCATTCAATCAGATGCAATATTGGTTATTACAATTGCAAACGAGATCACTTTCTATTCAATCTAAAATTTAATTTCTTTCAATAGAGTCCAACTATATATTAACTAGTGACAGAGCAACCTAATGAATAAAATAATTAATCGCTTCATAAAACATTATATTTATTATATTTTTTTAGTGTCTTAAAGTTTATAATCATTTTTCTCGGTCCCTTATCACAGGCACTTAGAGAAGATCAGCATTTTTAACCACTTTTTATTCTAATGACTGAACCAGGAGAAGTGGTCCTTCTCCATGGTCCTGTGGCCTCTACCAAATAAACAACTGCAAAGACTATACACAACCTCATGATTTCTGCAATAGAAAAGGTGTTTGGGCAAGTATTTTGAAAATAGTGAAAAAGAGGCTCAAATTTGATTTTCTGCTTTATCGAGTTTCTGCTTTTCTTGGCGAGGTGGCTGGTCTGCGGCATGTCTGTGGCCTTGAGCTGAACAGGGGCCTGCCCCTCGAACAGCAATTGATGTCCAGGCTCCTTGCTCTCCGAGCAGCGACTTGGGCAGGTGTAGATTGGACAAAAGGGAGGCATCTTCAGACAGGCAGCAAGCATGGCAGTGCAGTAGTTTCTCCAAAGGCCAAGGTCTCGTTTGGGACTCAAGGAGCTTCAGTTCCTCCGAGACCTCCTGGGCTGGGACTCTCACAGCGTTACCAAGGAGACCACTTGGCTTGTTAGGGAAGAACTCAACCACTTCATTATCTCCTAGTCTTGCTTCCCTGTTTTGTGAGCAATTAAAAATGAAAGCCCAGGCTATGTTCCCGTTGTTTTTCTTTCTGTATCCTCTCTTTTAAAAGAGTAATTAACTCTGACTCCTGTTGAACACCAGACTCTGTTTATCAACATCATCCTGAGTATTTTAATCAAAGAAGGTGTCCAATAAATAGGGGGGGGGGGCAGCAATTTGAAGCTGCCTTGTATGATAGCAAACCTGCTCTGCCAGGTATTCTTTGACAAATAGACTCTT